ACAGGGAAAGAAAGAATCCCACCCAGGCCTCCAGAGGCAGAGCAGCTGATGTAAAAGCTCCACACAACCGACATTTTAACATGAACACATCCAGGTGGTTTCCTGTCATTTCGTTTACACTTCCTTTCAGCCTGTAAGCCTGAGGGGGCAGATTCTGTGCTGAGTTTCCTGAGAGATGCAGCCCAAAGGGACGTGGGCAAAGTTAAAATCCTGCCCCTGCCAGGTGCACTGCAGCACCCAGAGCAAGTTAGAGCAGCCCCGGGGTCTGTTCCAACTTACAGCACCATCTTCAGGGCTGTCGATGGGCTACACTGCACCCCAGAATACCTCTTAGTGTAGAGTGCTAAGGGCACACCCTCTCCTGCCCATGACTGTCACAACTCCTCCCCCCTTCAATCAGCCCTGTGTTGCTCCAGCACTGGGGGAATTGTCCTCTGCCATCTTATGGCCCTTCCCTGGTTGCCAGACACCATAACAAAAAAAAAAGGTGGACCCTGCTCTACAGAGCTTACAAACTAATAGGAAACTGTATATAAGAGAACCCGGCAGTGCATGCATTGTATTCATTTGTGAATGAGCTGTAGCCAACTCAAAATTTAAAACTGCCCATTTTCATTCAGAAAGGTGTTGAGACAATAAGAACAGAACTCAGATCCTCTGATTCCTATGGCACAAACCTCAACAACTGGAGATAAAATAGAATCTCCATTAGCTCTTAGCAATATGAGACCGTTAACATTCAGTTGTGTACTTTTGATTCTAACCAGACAAGGGTATGTGAATCCTGCATCAGATCCAGTTCATTGCAATGTTAATTTGTGTTTCATTTCACTTCTTTTGGGAAAAAACAAAAAAGAAAAAGTCAACAGATGTGCATTGACCCCCTCAGCTCCTCTGAATTGCAAGGGAGTTACACAGCCTGAATTTGATGCAGAGGCGTCTCTCTAAATGATAAGAAAACCTGAATGGAATGGGATAGAATAATTGTACTGTTATGTCTCCTGATATTTTCATTTTCTTTACTTCTCCCCCATTTGCCGGGCTTCTGGATCTGCTTGTCAGGGATTCCCCTCGAGTGTCTCACAGACCAAGTCCATTAGAAAAGGCTGCACAGACGCAAACCCTGCTGCTCAGCTCCCTTCTCTATGTAGCGGACACAGTGTCTGCATGTTTCTGTTCTCTGATGTCATCTTCAACATGTCTGGAGGCCCCACAGCTCACTAGCTAAAGATTGTTCCAAACCGTTACACACAGCCTGATATAAATACATGTTCCCAGCTTGCCAGCTGGGAGCTCAAGACTCTCGATGGAGGTGTTTATACACTGAAAGACTCTGGCTTCATAATCTATGAAAGGACCACAGTGATCATCTAGTCTGATCTCCTGTATAACACAGGCCACCGGACTTTCGTGAATTCATTCCTGTTTGAACTAGAGAACATCTTTTAGAAAAACATCTCCTCTTGAATCCATTCTAAACTTTGTTCTTCTGATTCAGAAGCTGTGAAAAAAAAGCTTAAGAGGGAGATTCTCCTTCACCAAGAAACTCCCCAGACCTCAGGGAATGAAGCTCGTCCCTCTAAACTACATCACTTACCCCCTGGCTGTGTGCAGTGCCGCAGAACCTAAGATCCACAGGAGGCGAGATACCACAGGCACCGTCGCATCATCAGTGTCTACACAACCCTGCTAGTGCTTTGCCCCCACCCATTCCATTCCAATCCAGGGGGCCAGCTGGGACAAAGGGGGGCTACCCTTCTAAAGTGGGCACTCTGTGGAGGGAGGGGAAATAGTGGGTTCACAAATGCAATAACACGTCCTTTTGGCTGGTGGCAAAATGGTACTTTCCAGACTCTCTTTAGGTGCTGAACACATTTTCATCTCATGCTTTAAAACGTTCTGTTTGTGTTTAGTGAAGAAATCTAATAGACTCAGACACGGCGTAAAACAGACAAAAAGCCTGATATAAAAGCCTCCCTCCAAACATACCGAGGGATCTAACTCATGTACTTAAGCAAAGATCATTAGAATCTACCAGATACACACACACCCCTGGACACTAAGTTGAGGCACAGATCAATTACAAAGGCTATATCCTGCCCCCAGTCTATATATAATCTGATCTCTGCCATCATGGGCTCTGTGCTCTCAGTAGTGTTGCCAACCCTCCAGGGTCATCCTGGACACTCCAGGAACTAAAGATTAATTTTAATTAAAGATTATGTCATGTGATGAAACCTCCAGGAATACATCCAACCAAAATTGGCAACCCTAGCTCTGTCTTTGTCCATTAACGCACATTTATCCACAGTGGCTGCTTTGCATATCTCTACCCAAGAGCGATTCCCTCTACGTGGAGAAGATATAAATGGATCATTTATGAACGCAGTGTGTTTGTGGCTGCCAGTTTAGTAGCATCAAGATGCTCTCACAGACTCAGCTTCTCTGGCTGCTAGTGCTCTGCATTCAGGGTAAGAAGGAGTGATAGTTGCTTCATTTATGTTTTTTTCTTCATTTACAGGCATTTCTATGACATTCAACATTATAGCATCTGAGCAGCTCACAAGCATTAATGAAAAGTAAATTAAATATAATGAGATGTATATTAGAAAAAGATGTATTTAGCTAATTTATAATAGTGCTTAAATACCTAAACATTGAAGGATGGAGCTTTCGTTTGTTAAACATTATTCTGTTAATTGTCTTCCTGCGTGCAGACTCCCACGGGGACATTGTGATGACTCAGACTCCAGAATCTCTGGCAGTGTCTCCTGGAGACAGAGTCACCATCAACTGCAAAGCCAGTTCCAGTGTTAGCAGCTACATGGCCTGGTACCAACAGAAACCAGGACAAGCTCCTAAGCTCCTTATCCACAGCGCTTCCACCCGCCCCTCTGGGATCCCAGACCGGTTCAGTGGCTGTGGGTCGGGCACTGACTTCACTTTTAAAATCAGCCGGGTTGAAGCTGATGATACTGGAGATTATTACTGTCAGCAGGGTAACTATTGGCCTCTCACAGTGATACAGACAAATACAGAAACCTCCCTGTCCTCTTCTGTTTTCTGTTCCTCTGGTATATCAGTTGCCTCCTGAAGTCACAGTATCAGCAGAATTGCTGGGCAGCTGGGGATCTCTCACTTCACAGCCCCCCCACCTCACAATTCAGTTCAGTTCTAGAATTTCCCATGCAGTAGCCTTGAGACTCTAATTGATTTCATGATTCATTACATCGTATGCAGTTGTTTCCCTTCTCCAGTTAAAGTGCCTTTTCTTTTACAGGCTGGATCTCACCTCCTAAGACAGTCAGAGGATCTAACAGCTCCTCAGTCAGGTGATGAGGTGGACAAAGAGCTGTCCTGCTATCTTCTAAAGCATCCAGGGCACCATGTTCCACCCAGGAGAAGCAGGAGCGGAGAGGAAGCCCCATTCTCTGCAGTCCTCACCATACCAGAATCACTAGGAATAGCTTCCAGTGTTACAGTAGGCCCTGCATGCCTGCAATGTTACCTAATGGCGTAGCATAAGAACAAACACAACCTCCTCCTGTACAGACTCATTTTCTATCACTTGGGTTCCACCAGGCCCAGGCTCTATCAGCTACTTGTCTGACTGAGTGCTGTTAAAGTGATGGAGCAGGGCTCAAAGGAAGCAGAAATGAACTGGGATCCAGCTCTGTGGCCTAGCACCCCTTCCCCAGATCGGGGAGAAGCTCTTCTGTACCTGACGCCTTTATAAAATACACGTTCAGAAAGGACAGGGAGGGGGAAAATAGAGGAGGTGTTGCCTTGCATCTTGAAGATGAATACGCTTGTACGGAGGTTGAGATAGAAGTAGGAGCCAGACCCACTGAAAGTCTCTGTGTAAGAATGAAAGGGGTAAAAAACAAGGGTGATGTCACAATAGGGGTCTGCTATAGACCACCTAGCCAGAAGAAGAGA